CTGCAGTGATGCAATCACTGTCTTCGTCGACAGCGGTGATGCAATCACTGTCTTCGTCGATGGCGGTGATGGCCCAAACATGCGTAGATTGGGAATTATTTTCATAACGTGTGTATTTTGAGAATTTTTTTTAAAAACATGTGTGACTTGGGATTTTTTCCTAAATCTGGAGACCATAAGATCTATGAAAAGAAGAATATGATGCTTTCTTGATAAATACGAGGTCCAAAGAGAGAGAAGCCTATTAGTAACCACACATATAGCCTATGAGAAGACCAATGGACGTAGACTTGGCCCAAGCAGAAGCAAGAATGAGCGGTGACCAAACAATGGGTCCAACAGTCGCCCATGAAAACTTGAATTGTCATGAGAGGTTGTCCATGGACCAAAAAGGTAAGCCCAACGCCTAGGGGCAAGCCCATATAGAAAATATTTAGGCCTTGATTCGACCCAAGTCAAATGCATCTTTTCCTAGTAGGTTTAGGAGGGTTTTGGCCGAGTTCTAGCAATATAAATAAAGGGCTAGACTCATTAGTTTAGTAGGCTGCACAAATTCACTCAAAACTTCTGTAAACACTCTTATCGAGTGAGAGCCTAACATTTGTAGGAGAGGTTACAACTAAGGAGATGCCTTCATCATTGATGGAGGTACCCCCATTATATTTTATGTATAGCTAGTTTCAAATTGATTGTATGATAATCTGAACTCATTTATATTTTTTTCATGCTATTATTTCATATTATGCATGTGTTGATGCTTGTGATTTTCAATGCCCTGTGTGTGTTCATTGATGCGTTATGTTCTTTTGCCTATGTATTTGCTATCGATTCTCATTTAGTTCAATACTTATCATCGAAGCTTATGAAACTATAGTGTTCTACTATATGCGTTGTGCTTATTATCATCTAGGTTGTCCAGAAATTACCAGCTTACACCATTGATGCTACCCGAGTATAGAGGGAATGATCAACCATCTATACCTCAAGTAGTAACAATGCTTGACTGTTAAATCATTGTTGCTATAGACCATACAATATGGATTAAGAGGCTCACACTTAATCATATATTATCCTTAGTTCTCTGTTCTTAATTGATTAGGTGATGTCGTGATGGCATAAAGTGAAGCATGCATTAGCTTGTTAAGTTCTTATTGCATGTGGCGAAAGCTCGAGTAGGATGCCCTGGTTGTAGGGGATGCCCTGGTGAGTGATTGATATATGATATGATTGAGAATTATTATGTTTGATGATTCTCGAGTATACCTTCTTGTTCAATAACGTTTCTTTACCTATATGCATTTATAACTTGAAAACCTCCTTAACAACTTTACCTTTCCTTGCTTTGCTTTTCTTTGCTTGTTACACGAATGAAAACCCCTAAAGAAGCTTGTCTATTTCGTGTTGAGCATAGATGGTATGGTGTGAGTAGTTATGCATTAGAAGACCTTGTGAAATACAACCGTAGTATATCCTAGGACTTTTATCACTTGCATGTTTACTACGCATAATGAAGATTATAATAACTCGAGCGAGTGGCTATCGTTGACTGTAAAACAAAAAAAAACGAGAAAAACGAAGAAACAAATGATAAGGCATAGAAATCCGAGTTGTCTCAACCCCATCTAAGGAATATTTAAACCACTAATAGTGGATATAAAGTATAGACATTGTCAGTGGCCCTACAGAATATGAACCTAGACATCTATTTAGGTTATAATTACTTTTTTGTGAAATACTACGGTCAGCAAATGATCCAAATTTGATTAGGGTACCTCAATTTGTGCCTCTCCTCCACCGCAAACTCATAGCTCACAAACACCCAACAATCACAATGATGTTCAATTAGTATCAATAAGTTCTAATCCTGAAAAAATAACGAGTTTATACTGTATACAGATCTTTACCTAGTTTTTCCAAATTAGGTTGATATTGTTGCATATTGTAACAAGAATTCATTTGTGATGGCTCCAACCGATATTAGGAAAAAAGTAGATCATAATGTCAAATAATATAGAAAATTGAATAAAAAAGAGCGTAATAATACTTACCTAGCCTCGTAAGCATCATCTCATTATTGATCATTAGGTTCCCAATCCAATAGGGATGGCAAAAATATCTGTAACCGTGGATATCCGCCCGAATCTAGTCTAATCGGATAGGGTAAAACCCGAACCCGAAGGACATTTAGTGGGTACGGGTAAAACCCGAACCCGGATATTTCGGGTAATAGGCGAGCATGGGTTTCTCACTATCCAACCCGAACCCGCCCGATTATACACATGTGTATGTATTTTGTCTAGAAATAATCATTATTTTCTCTAAAATATGTTATATTTAGTATATAAATATAATATTTTCATGAAATGATGTTGTTTTAATTAATTTTATTCATTCTAGTAAATTATTTTCGTACATTTCCTCTTACGTAACTTGAGATTACATGTGAATGTTAACATATTGGTTAGAGTTATGAAAAGAAATTATTACCCATGGATAACCGTGGATACCCAAAACCCGAACGGGTATGGGCATGGTTTTGATTTTCTACCCGTTTCACATGTGGATATGGTATGGTTAAAACACGAACTACTTTGGGTAGGGTAACGCATATGCAATATCCGGCCCCGACCCGACCCATTGTCATCCCTACAATCCAATGATGGCTTCTATGGTAAAGTTGTGGTAAGGTAATGCTCTGATACCCAAACTTGGCGGATGAATATAGGAGCACTAATTTCCTGTTGCATAGCTCTTACAACCCTATATAATTTGTGGTAGAGCAAAACCAAGCTTGTCAAGTCCCAACTCTTCTTGCCAATCTCTCGTCTAACTTGTCGTCGTCGAGTAGTATATTTTGCCTAATGTCATGGATAGACATGTTTGACTTGTTGGAAAACATCGCCTCAACAACCAAAAAAATCATGAATGTGATAGTTGATTCGATTTCAATAGTGCATTCACTTAATTTTCTAGATTTTGTGTGCCTCAACACCCAAGAATTCGTGCCGCCAAACCTCCTCTTGGATCTTTAGCAGTATCAATAATTACCTTCCATGGAACAAGAATTGGGTGATGATGATGATATCCATGAGCGTGATTGTCATGTCTCCATTAGGCATATGAAAAGTATGCATCTCCGGTTTGCGACCTCTCTACCACAGGTCATCATCAACTCGTTGTTGGTTTATATATCTACAATGGTTCAAACTTGGAATAATCGTGATCTTCAAAGATATGGCTTGAACCTTTGATGCCAATTTGAAAGTAATGTGGAGTGCGGCCTGATTGTCGCAATACAGAGGAGTGGGCTTCGACTGAGGAACACCTAGTTCATGAAGTAGCCAACATAACTAGAGTAATTCACTCACCGTGCTCGTCATGCCATGGTATTCAGCTTAAATAGAGGAACGTGCAACAACCTTCAGACATTTCGTGTGCCAAAAAATAGGAATCGAAACAAATGAAATGAAGAACCCAATGGTGTAACATTGGGTGGACTGACACCCAACCCAATATACATTACAATAAGCAGTCAACTCTAGAGAATTATCTGTAGGGAAATAAAGACCTTGACCGGGTAAGTTTTTCAAGTAATGCAGGATCTGCATCGCATCATCCTTGTGCACCTGCGTAGGTGGATGAACAAAGAGACTCAAAATATTGACACTATAAGTGATATCGGGCTGAGATGGAGTGAGATAGAGAAGACGCCCAATTAAACGACGATATGAAGACCCGTCAACCAAGGGACTAGCTAGAAGACAGTTGTTGGGTCAGTTGATGGTTCTAATCGACCGAAAATGCACTCGGTCTGGGCCCAAGAATACCGCCTCGGCCAGAATGTCCAAGACATACTTTTGCTTATTGATGACAATCTAATTGGGTGAGTGAGCAACCTCCAATACCAGAAAATATCATAGAAACCCAAGATTCTTGATACTAAACTTTTGATCAAGGAACTTCTTGACATGATCGATAAACTCGAGGTTATTTCCTGCGAGTATGACATCATCAACATATATCAACACAACAACAAGCACATCCCGTTGGGCAAACCAAACTGGAACTTTCATATAGACCTATTCTGACAAATCTTCGTGTAATAAGGCATTGTTGACGTCGAGCTGAGGTAAGAACCACTATCAACTTAATACAACATCAAGGAGACAATGTACTATGACAAGCTTGGCTACAAGTGCAAAAGTTTCATGAACACCAACACCCTCAATTTGCGTGTACCCTTTGGCTATGAGGCAAGCCCTGTAACGTTCAACTGACACATCCATACGATATTTTACTTTAAACACCCACTTGCAATCAATTGAGCGTTTACCGGGAGGAAGAGAGACAAGAGTCCATGTACCATTTGCAATGACAACTACAATTTCTTTGGACATGACCTCCCGCCAGCATGCATAACGTATTGCCTCTTTTAAAGAAGTCGGTTCGGGATCCGATCCACAACGCTAGGCATAGGAGATTGACGTGATCTCCTTAATTGATTGAATAAATGAGACTAATCCACCGGAGAGTTCAGCCTCTCTAGCTTTGATATTACAGATAGATTATGGTGTTACAATGGCCGAAGGCCATGCTCTCTCTCTATTTATGCTAAGCTGCTGATGCCCTAGATCATTACAAGGTTAAGAAGTAGTTGCAATTGGGGTGCGGATAGTATAACAACACAGAAGTAACCACAGAGTTCATTAAGGGCAAGAATGTAAAACACACAAAAATAATATAATTAAAATATAAATTATTCTCCCGTAGCGTGGTATGTCTCTCTCCCTCCACAGCACAGCAACGACCAGATCTATCTCCCTGCAACAATTCTTTATTTTTCCGGCGGCAATCCTCGTCGCTAGCATCGCCGGCGCCATCGCACCAGATTTTTGGCCAGTGACGAGAACGGAAAATATTTTAGATCTGAGTTATCTTCTTTGTCTCGTTCTTTCTTCTTTCTTCCGGCCGTTGACCAAACTCCTACCGGAAACTGAATATCAGTTCCGTCGATGGTATCGCCCAAACCTCAATCGGAAATCTAAATCGGCGATGCTTCCCAACCGCAATTTGAAATCGGAATCACCGTCCCTCCTTTTTGCCACTCTCAAATCCGACCCACGAATTCCCACCCGGCGAACTCTCTGCTCAACGAAGCTCTCCTCATCTCCCACCTTCTGTTCGGCCACAATCGATCTGAAATTCAAACCCCCTACCGTCGGCCCTCTCTCCACTTCGTCGGTCGCCGCAGTCTTTGCTGGCATCTGGATCTGCATTGGAAAGCCCCAGAAAAAGAAATCTACCTCATCTCCCACATGCAATTCGGCCACTCTCAATCTGCACCCAGGTCTCGCCTCTCCCACGATCTCGACGTCGACCCATTTGCCGAAGAATTACTAGTTGTAAAAAGAGTCGGTGGATGAATATAGGGATTTTGATGATGGAAACAACAAAGCAGGAAAGGGACCTGAAATGAAAAAGAAAGAAGGGAAGAAGACGAAGTGAGGGTTCACTCGTCAAGTTTCAATGCTCCTTGATTGGGCTTAAAATGCCTTGGGCCCAATAACAAATTAACACTCGTTAAATGAAAAGGATGGGCTTTAAAGAACTGAAGCATTTGGAAGCCACAGGGATATGCAATTGAGAATTGCTTCTCATCTTCCTCTCAAGCTTTCCAGGCTGAGCAGAGTTCCATAAATAAGAAACATAGCACACAACGAGAAGAGAAGAGAAGAGCTTGCTGAGAAATGTAAACAACACAACGATTTTCGAAACCACATCATAAACTTCTGAATGCAAACCAGAAACACAATAAAGCAAACTAGAAATCTTCTAATGCAAACCACAAATCTCCTAAAACAAACCACAAACCTCACAAAGCAAACCACAACATTTGCGAAAACACACCAGAAATCTCCTAATGCAAACCACAAACACAGTAAATCAAACCACAAAAAAAGCAAACCATAAATGCCCCAATGCATACCACAAACATATTAAAACAAACCAGAAACCTCACAAAGCAAACCACAAAATTTTCAAAAACACACCAAAAACCTCATAATGCAAACCACAAACACGTTAAAGCAAACCACAAAAACAAACCAGACCCCTCCTAATGCATACCACAAATCTCCTAAAACAAACCAGAAACCCCTCAATGCAAACCAACAAATTTTTGAAAGCAAACCAGAAACTTCTCAATGCAAACCACAAACACGATAAAGCAAACCAAAAACTACTCAATGCAAACCACAAACACGATAAAGCAAACCACAAAAGGCATACGAAAATATGAGAAACCAAACCATAAATCTCACAATGTAGACCATACATCCAGTCTTCGTTGACCGTTGACCCGGTCAACGAAGTTCGTTGACCGAACTCCGGTGACCGTCAGTGAGCAGATTCCGACGCCGATAGGCATATTCCGGCCCCGATGACTAGATTCCGACGCCGGTAAGCATATTCCGACACCGATAAGCATATTCCGGCGACGAATAGCATATTCCGGCGACAAATAGCATATTCCGGTGACCGGCGACCAAATTTTTGGGCAGAAAATAAAAAAATATTTTTTTATTTTTTTATTTTTTTTATTTAAACATATTTTTCATAATGACAATTATACCCCTGTTTTGATTTTACACTAGGTCAACTCAACTAATAAAAAGTCATCACATCCCTAGCTTCCTATTGGTTGGGGACTAGTGTTGTTACAATAACAATACAATGGGTGTTGTTACAATAACCGGTCCCTTACAATTGACCTAAAAAAAAGACTCCTTGTCATACAAGGAAACATACTTACTGCGTGTGAGTTGGGCTGGAGTTGGGCCGCATGAGGCATCGTGGGTTTCGGGGACTCACCTTCACTCTCCAATATTATTATTTTGGTATTTTGTAAATTTTTGTAGTAGTTTTGGAAATTTTGGAAACAACTCCCCCCGCTCTTGGCAATAAAACAGAAATAAAAAAAAATTTGAGCAAAGGTTGAGGTAAACAAATGCAATGCAAGATAGATTTTGACAACATGAGAAAGAAAAATTACAATCAGAACAAAGCTAGTGAATTACATTTTTTTAGTTGGTTCGTATACCATATTGATTCCTCCCGGGTTAATTAACAATAACCACATCATTAGTAGTCTCGTTGAGAGAATTGTCGCCTCCCCATTTCCTTATCTGATCTCCAGCATTAGAAGCCTGAAATTAATCAAAATAAACACAATACTCCATCGTTACGAGACTATTATCCTACATTTTTTTCTCTCTCACGTAATTGAGATACTTATTGTTCCAATCATGCATGCATTAGCTAAGTAACGAAAAATTGATAATAAATTCCAGTTACCTCTTCATTCCAATTAGTTTTATAGATCATCCAGTAAAGCACAAGAGTTTGCACCGCCGTTCCGGCCATCATCCCTAACCAAATACCCTGCACCACAACAAGAATATTGAAAGAGTAACATATCTATCGACATTCCAACAAAACGCCATCGTATAGGGTACCGATAATTATACTCACTGTGATACCCATATCAGATTTGTAGCCCAAAATCAGTCCCAATGGAATTCCAAACAAATAGTAACTAGCAATGTTCACGTATGCCACAACTGCTTGCCATCCAGCCCCGACCGCCACACCTGCTCGCCATACGTAGTTTCCACATGTAAACAACCATATATGATCTATCGTTCTATATTCTGAAAACTCAACCTGATTAATGGATTGATTGGTTACCTGAGAGAACAGGTTGAACGTTGTTGAGAACGATGCAGAGAGCCAGCAAAGGAGTCATTTTGGTGACGACTCGCTGCACTGCTAGATCGTTGGAGAAGAGAGCAGGGTAATGGTCTCTGGTAAGGATGAGAAGGAGTGCAAGGGCAATGCCGACCATGAATGAGGATATCACCGCGACCACAAGCGCGAACTTTGCTGTTCTCGGATGAGCTGCGCCTAGTTCGTTGGAAATTCTGACGCTGAAGAAAAGAAGAAAAAAAAACCAATTCTTTATAAATTAACTCTATGATGTTCATATTAAAAAAAAAAGTTCATTTGACAAGGAGATAATTAATTAAGCAAAACCTGACTGCTGCATTCATTCCAAAAGCCGCTGTGACGGTCCACCCCACAATAGTCATACTGCAAAGTTAATTTGAAATGTGTCTTTCAATGGTTACAGCCTTATAACTTCAAACAATTTACTATACTAGTCTAACGGATTTAATTATAGCATGGCAAATTAGGGAAACACGGATCACTTTAATCATGGATTATGGATAAGTAGTAATCATTTAATATTGGGTAGTAGTCGTTTTTCTGGTTGGCAAGTTTTCATCTCATTTGGCTGGCCATCAGATCGGTCCAAATCTTGTTCAACAGTGGCTAACAAGTAAACTGAAGACACGAGGACAAAGTTGATTCGATAGGCAATCTTGTCAAAAGAAAACCAACCCACAAAAAAAAACAAAAACAAAAAACATGGTAGAGGACAATTAACAAGTAAACAGAAGTTTGGGTGACGTATACCAGATGGACAAAGCATCCACAGCAACTTCAGCGTCCTTGAGATAGCCCGCAAACAATATCAACACCATGAAGTACCAAACCTCTAAGCTGTACCCACAAATCCCATTATTAATATTTGGATCTTTGTCCACATTTCAGCATAAAAATAAGAATTAGAACAGGAACCCCCCCAATCATACACACTCAATTTGTCATCATCTCCAATTTTAATTATATAATAATAACAAAAGGTTACGTTTCTTTTTCATCTCTTTTATAATAAAAACAATTCACTTAACCTTTTTCTCTTCAAAAATACATTATATAATAACGGGTAAGAGTTTGTGTCAAAAGTGTAAAGAGTTTGTTTATAACTGTTGCTGACTTCATTTAAAAAAAGAAGGATTGTTGCTGACCGCTTTTCACGGAACCAAATTATTGCTTTTAATGATAAAAATATGGGCAGAGGAGACAATGAATCGACTTGCTGCCCGAATTATTAGCACCCCACGTGAAACATGAAAGAAAGAGAACGACTGGCCGTGGCAGTAGCCGGAGACGTTATCTTGTCAGGCCACCCGCCCATTTGCGTTGGTACTCGTGGAATCGGAATCAACGACTTACTAGATCCGATAAAATTGGAACGATACAGAGAAAATTGACCGACTTACCAAATCATAACAGCGGACGCAAGCGACAGCTTCACGAACCCCCACAGATTGGTGAAGGCCTTCCACGTGAACCCGCTCCACGCCCTCCCGCACCTCCCGCTCACCACGTACGCGAACTGCGCCACGTCGATGAACCACCACGACACGTTCAGCGCCACCGCCAGCCCCGCCACGCCCATCCCGACCTCCAGCGTCAGCACCCAGCTCAGCGCCACGTGGAGTACCAGCGCCGCCGCCGCAATCCCCGCGATCGCCGCCATCTTGCTCTGCGCCTGCAGGAACTTCACCATCGGGAAGTTGAACGCGAAGGCGAACAGCTGCGGGAGCATCCAGATCGTGAAGACCCCCGCGGCGGCTGAGAGTGACGCCTCTTGCCCGATCAGGAGGAGGAATGGGCCGGCGAAGACGTAGAGCAGGCTGAGGAGGAGTGAAGTGGCCAGAAGGATGACCCAGGAGCGCTGCAGGTAGACTCCCAGCATGTCCAGCTGTCCTGCTCCGTAGGCTTGCCCGCAGAGCGTCTCCAGGGCGCTTCCCATTCCTAGCTGGATTATATTGATTTACGAATTACTTTGAATTAATTAATTGGATTGATTGTGAACAAAGGCGATTACTTGAATTGATTACACCAACCAGAAGAAGAAAACAAAAAACACAGAGCAAACAAACGAGAATGGTTGGATGGACTTCAGGACTTGTATCTAATCTAAGTGAAGAGGCCATCCTGGTGCAAACGAACACAACGAAACAAGCGGATCCCAACAAAAATACTAGATCCAAACATTTCACCTCATCACCACTATTATACAAAGATTGAGAAATTGTATTGGAGTTTGTGTTAAATAAACTATTAGCACGATATTTTGTACTGAAATCATAGTTAACAGCTCTATAACACTAAAATATGATAAAATCACTATTATTTTTTGTAAAGAAATAACTCGAGTGGTTAAAAATGAACCTATCTATCAATATGAGCTACTTAAATCCCGTCAAAAATTTTAACTTCTTAAACCATTACTATTGGTTAAAAATTAATATTATTATTTTTATAGTCTTGTTTTCTTTCCCGGTAACTCAAAAGTGTGGCTTCATTCAACTCAACGCAAGGAAAAAACTAGTATTTTAAAAAGCTTTTTTCAGTAGTGTTGAGCTTGAGCATAGAGGTAGCTAGATACACACCATGGTGCCTGAGGAAAAGCTGGCGATGACAGAGTTCTCGACGGAGACGGCGGCGAGCTCGAGGGTGCCGACTTGGCCGGCGAAGACTTGGGTGACTGCGCCCAGGGAGTACTGGCAGAGGCACATAAAGATGGCGGGGCCAGCCAGGAACCACAGCCTGCCGGATTCCGCCAAGAACTCTCTCGAGAAATCCCCGAGGCTTCTGATCGGCTGAATGTCACCTGCCCCGACGGCGAATGAAGCCTCGGCAGTGGCGGCGCTTTTCTGAACAAGGCGCTGCTCATGGTCATCTATGTCCTCCGATCTTGGAGACAGAAGAGGCTGCCGGTAGTCAGCCATATCGAGAGACAGAGAAAGAGAGATTTGGCCAGAGATTTTGGGGGAGGTGGGTAGGTAACTAGCTTGGATTATTAATGATGCATGGGAACTCATTGGTATAAATGGAGGCCAGGCAATAAAATAATGAAGGGATCTTGATATAATTTATTTAATTTTATTATTATTTTATTACTAAAGATAATGATGATCTTTTTACGAATTAATTATTGTATATCATGGAAAACAAGCTAAGGGTTCTGTTTTAGCAACCTCCCTGTCAATAAGAAGACTAACTAAGTACATATATATATTGAGTCACTAAAGCTCAAATTAATTATTGTATATCACTAAACACAAGGGTTCTAGAAACAGCTCAAATTAAAGCTTCATTACTTGCAAGCATAATCACAACGTCAGATTGAATCTGTTTAAGCATCTCACCATAAGTTTAAATTGCAAGGTCGGTCATTGGAAGTACTAAAAAAATCATGTTTGGTCACTAAAAGTATTTTATTCTATTCATGGTCACTGAAAGTGATTTAACGTTTCACGTATGGTCACTCTCTGTTAGTCTCTGTCAAGTGTCAACCTTCATTAACACCGTCAATATTTTATTGACATGGATAACAGAAATGCGGACTCACTCATTTTTAACCCGTCACGTCAAACCCTCTACATAACTCAATCTAATTCAACCCTTAATCCAACCCGACTAGATTCGACCCGACCCCACCCACCACAACCACCGCGTTCCACCATCGTAGCCTTCAAGTTGTTCTCCTCCTAGACTAGATTCACTCCCACATACGCTAGAGTCCATAGTCCAGACCCTCCACTTCCAAATCCCATGACTCCCACCCGATTCGATCTCTCTACCTCATTACTTTATCCTTCCCCCCAGTTCTTCCACCCCGCACAAAAAAAAAATCTCATCCTTCCAACAATATGAACAAACGAGAGAAGAGAGTTGGAAACGGAATGACGGAGGAGACGAACGCGTAAATCGGGACTTCTTTTCGTCATGATGATGTTGCCTGGTCGAACTTGGGCCACACAACCTTCTTCTTCTCTTCGAAGATCCCTGAATAGAGGCGGTCAATTCAGAGCGATTGACTGGGCTCAAGTTTGGGCTTGGGCTAGAGAAGAGATATTGGTCGCTCTACTACCGTCCTCGTCTCCATCGTCTTCTGAATCAGTGGATGTAGGGGGAGGGATTTGGATAGTCTCAACCCTCACCTGTTTTGCAAGGAAGTGGTTAAGTACCATACATAGGCCTGTATAAGATCCAACATAACCTTCTCCCAACAACTCGAGTTATTTGGACCAACTGGTTTATGACATGGTATAAGAGCTGGTTTGTCCTTGAGGTCACGTGTACAAGTCCTCACGAGTCACGACCCCAAATATTAACCATTGTCTTTCAAGCACATGGTATGGCGGGTCTGTGCAAACTTGAAGCCCATGAGTCGGCTTTCATTTGAGGGTGCGTGTAAGGAAGTGGTTAAGTACACTACATGGGCCTGTATAAGATCCAACATAACATTCTCCCAACAACTCGAGTTATTAGGACCAACTAGTTTATGACATGTTTAGGGGATTTGGGTTGCGATGCTTCGTTGGAGGGGGAGGGAACTTCTCGAGGGGATTGTTGTGTGCGATGGATTGGAGGATTGAGGGAGTTAATTTAACATGCATGCAATTGAATTCGAATGTGCTACCCACCCCAATTTAACCCGATCAAAAGCCGGTAAAACGCAGTGTTTAGTGTTTACGAATTGTTTGATGTTGGGTGTGGATTTTACTCGATTTTGTATTTGGTGGGTTTGAATAAAGTTGGGTGTTACAAAACTCAACCCGCTTTCCACCCATATCATATTCATAAAGCCAAAAGACTTCATTTTGTATCTAACTGGATCAATATGAATAATTTTTTAATCTATTAGTTTTTATTACAATATAAACCCAATAATATGGATAATCTATGGATTTTAGTTACATGTCCTTTTAAGAATACATTTATAGATTAAAAAACTTTTGATAACAAAACAATATAATATAGGTGTTCGAATGAATAATTAAGAATTATGTTCGTAAACTCATTGTATCCATGCACCTATGGTACCTAGGGGTGTTCAAACGGTGTGGTTACCATGGTAACCGTTTTAACCAGTACTATTTGGATAATTTGGTTTGGTTAATTTGGATAATTGGTTTGGTTTGGTTGAAGTTCTTAGCTTGTTTGGTTTAGGTGGTTTGGTTTGGTTTCAGACACTCCTAACCAGCCAAACCAAATTAACCAGATAAATAATTAGCCATATATCTAATATATACACATACTTAATACTTTGAATAACCACTCAAGAGTTAAACGTTCATCCCTTTTCGACTCATAAAATATAAAGCTTGATATTGTTCATATAATGTATATTTGTATATGTAGAGTGTAGACCACAACATACGACGCCTAATTTAGATAAATCTCATACATTATGTTGGATGAAAACTTGAAAGCAAGGTCCTTTTCAGCCTATGAAATTGCTAAAAGACTAAGTCAATTCAAACAAACACAACAATTCATTAACCCATACCATTGTGATAAAATTTTGTTAGGTGAATACTTCTATACTAACCGTAAGATAATTATCTTAGTTGCATGTATTTATGTTAAGGATCAACTATAACTATGTGTTGATTGTTATGTTTTATTCATTATATAAATTTTGAATTGATAAATTAACCGAAATTTTTCTCACTTAATGATAATGTGATTTTATATTGGTTAATCTGGTTAACCAATTAACCAAACCGATTAAACTTTAGTTTGGTTAATTTGGTTGTTGTATTAGTTTGGACGGTTTGGTTATGATATTGTATTCCATGATTAATGAAATTTAGCCTTATTTGGTTTGGTAATAACCATGGTAACCATTTGAACACCCCTAATGGTACCCATCATATTGGATTGACTTTTTACTACTAAACCCCAATTAATATTTAACCATAATTTGTTAAATGGTAAGCTGAATTGAGTTTTTGTTCAGAGAAATCTGATCGTAACCCAACTTATTGTCATTCTACATTATGTGGTCTTTATAAGTGTTGTTGACTTTATTTAAAAAAGACTGTTGCTAACCGATTTTGAGGGAACCAAATTAGACGTTATCTTGTCAGGCCATTTGCTTTAGTATGTACCCCCACAGATTGCTAACGCCTTCCACGCGAACCCACTCCACGCCCTCTCGCTCGCAACGTACGCCAACTGCGCCACTTCGAATCGTCGAAGAACAGGCATTGACGTGGAGAGCAAGCAAACAAGTTACAACTTGGATCCATGCAATTTAATGTCTGGTATATTCTATTCAAACATAGACCATTAGGGTGTGCAAGCTCCCGTCTGGACTGCATCGGAACAAATTTAGAAGAACCGTGGTCCAATAGTGTAAGAGACTTTTATGAACAAAGAACAGTGTATTCAGTTCATATTGGCCCGGTTTAAATGTTACCTAGATCAATTTTTCTTCGGTATTTATAAATTTTATAAAATCAAAGACCAGAACAGATTATAATCGATTTGATGCGGTCCAATTCAAGCTTTGATTTCATCCGGTACAGTCCGATGCACACCCCTACATACCACTCTAACTTGAATTAAAGTATAAAACAAAAACACAGAAGAAACAAGAATGGACTTTAATCATTCTCACCAAATAGACAAGTTCCCCACCAACATCTAAGTGAAGAGGTCACTCCTCGGGCAAACAAACATAGCACCGAAACAAAATAATACAACAAATAACTTGATTTGTTGGAACTATATGGTTCTTAATATGGTATTAGATCTATAACTGAGAAATTGTATGTGGTTTGGTTAAGAAAATAGAGGAGACAACAATTTAACGTGGTATTCCTGACGACTCGGGACTAATCCACAGGAGAGCGGAAACTCTCCAACCACTATTGTTATTCCTTCTGATTAACCATTCAGCTGAAGCCTATTACACTATACGACTGCATTCACACCTATTTTGTACAGGGATAATTCTGATGAATCAGAACCGTTGTGTTTCATTTTGAGATTAAATAAATATTATTGTTTGGGTTAGAGAATTGGAGACTAGGGTTCACCCATTACAGGTTAGGGTATCGTATCATGCCCGAAATTCCGATTAATTCATGATCTAACTAACAAAACTCGATGGGAGTACGGTAGGGTAATATTTACAAGCATCTAGGATTACACAAGTAGTATAATCCTTCCATGATACGTAAATCAAATTCGAGAAGGAAAGACTTTGTTGAACTGTGTTGTGCGAGATGGACTGAGCTAGATCCGATGTGGGCTGACTGCAGGGCTTTGTCTCATAGTGGTCATGAAAGTCCAACACTTTCCCGCAAGCTGGAACATGAAGAATACGACCGTGCAGCTTGGAGTGAAGAAAACGGATGCGATCAGCAACAAGGCCTTCAACGAAAATATCAGCCAATTGCAAGTTTGAGCTCACTTTGAGAGGCAATATGTCGCGCTGGGTTACTTTGTATTTATAGGGGGTTAATACCTTATTTTGGCCTGAATTATGACCATATAATCAACTTAGGCCCGTGGTTTCAGAAATTAATATCCTGGCCTCAACTATGTAACATATAGACTCAATTGGCCCGACACAGAGTTTGACCGTCAATTTGGATGGTCAACACCATTGACCGTTAGTCAACATGCCATGTCATTGCCTCGTCAGCCTAAAAATCATTATAAAAATTCAAATTCTAATTATTTTTCTAATTTTTATTAGTTATTATCAAATTAACCAAAAACAAATTGTGAACAACATAAATAAAGTTAATTTTTTATTATTTGGGTAATTTGAAAATGACAAATTTTATAAATTAACAAAAATTTATCAAATTAGTTTATATTTGTAAAATTATCCAAAAAATAAAAAATATATTTTATTTCATATTTTTTCAATTTATAAAATTTAATTTGATAATTTTTGGCTGATTTATAAAATTTATCATTTCCAAATATCCCAAAAAATAAATTATTTTTTTTAGCTAGTGGTCATTGGTGATTTTAACAGTACACTCCATGAGGGAGAAAAAGATGGAGGTCGGGCTTGGAATGCGGTGCAAGCCATTAGCCTTCGGGATTTTATTCATGATTTAGAACTCCATGACCCAGGCTACCAAGGGGATCAGTTTACTTGGACCAATAAGCGTATGGGGGAGGCGTGCATTCGTGAGCGTCTGGATAGGGCTCTTTGCTCCCAATCCTGGATAGATACTTATCCTGAGACTTTGGTAAACATTTCACGGACCAGGGGTCGGATCATCGTGTCCTCCTTCTCGCCGACAAACCTTATACTCGGAGTAGTCAGCCTCTATTCCGGTTTGATGCTCGTTGGGCGGATAACCCAGAGGTTAGGGCTATGGTCCATTATATCTGGCAGGAGGAGATACAGGGTACCCCTATGTTTCGACTTTGGGAGCGCCTCAAGAAACTCTGTCACCTGCTCTAAGATTGGAGCAGGGCGGGCACTACTAATTCCTTGCGGAATATAAAGACTCTCCGGGCTGAGATTGTCCGAGTCAAGTCAATCCATCCAGTGGACTGGGATGTGATCAGGTCACTGGAGACGGAGCTGACTCGTCAGTGGGATGCGGAAGAGCTATACTGGCAGCAAAAGTCCAGAGTCCGATGGTTAAAAAAAGGGGACCAAACTCTGTTATTTCCATAAGGTCACTCGCGCACGGCGGAAGAGGAATTTTGTCTCTGGGCTCCGGAATGATGAAGGCGAATGGGTTACTGAGGAAAGTGGAAAGGCTATGATTGCTACCAACTTTTACCAAGCTCTGTTTACATCGGAGTCCCAGGTTCCCAATATGGCGGATAGGGTGGCGAGTCTCCCCATTTCCCGTACTGCTACTCCACAAATGAATGCGCTGTTGACGGCGGTGGTTTTGACTGATGAGGTTCGGAGAACAGTCTTTTCAATGGGGTCGAAGCAGGCTCCGGGGTCTGATGGCTTTACCGGCAAATTCTTCAAAGCATTCTGGGATATTGTGGGCACCTCGCTGATTGATGTAGTTTGTTCATTCTTTTCTACTAGTCGAATGCTGCGCAGTTTTAACCACACTTGGCTCACTTTGATTCCTAAAGTGGATTCTGTGGAAACAGTCCGCCAGCTGCGTCCGATCAGTCTATGTCAATTCGTTTACAAAGTTATAACCAAGATCATGCCTGACCGACTTGTTGGTCTGCTTCCTCAGATCGTTTCCGAGGGACAGAATGCGTTTATAAGAGACAGGAAAATTATTGATAACATCCTTCTCGGTCATGAGTTAATGCATTATCTAAAAATAAAGAAGCAGGGCAAGAAGGGGTACATGGCTCTAAAGGTTGACATGGAAAGGCCTATGATAGAGTCGAATGGCCCTTCCTTCTGGCAGTTTTGGATAAGATGGGTTTTAGCTCTGTTTGGCAAGGATGGATACATGAATGTCTTAGATCCGTGTCTTTTTCGGTACCGATAAATGGTACACCCTCGGGCTTTTTCAATTCCTCTCGAGGACTCAGGCAGGGAGATCCGTTGTTGCCATTATTGTTTGTGCTTTGCACGGAGGGTTTTGCGGCCCTTCTTTGGAAGGCGATCTCGGAAAAGAAGTTGGAGGTGGTGAAAGTGGCTCCACGTGCTCCTAGGATCTCACATTTGTTTTTCGCGGATGATTCCTATTTATTCCTGCGCGGTTCTCTTCAGGAGTGCGATAATTTGATTGTGGTGTTGAATGAGTATGAGGAGCTGAGTGGGCAGCGAGCTAACCTGGAGAAATCGGCAGTCTATTTTAGTAAAAATGTTGCCTTGCCTGACCAGGAATTTTTGGCCACAATTCTAGGGGTCGGTGCAGTAGGGGTTCATGATAAGTATCTATGGTTACCCACTTTGATTGCCCGCTCCAAAATGGCGACTTTCCGGTATCTAGAAGAGAAATTACTGGCGCGTCTGCAGGGGTGGAAGCAAAAGACATTGTCATGGGCGGCAAAGGAGACTTTAATTAAGTCAATAGCTTTGGCCTTGCCTCTGCATGTTATGTCGTGTTTCTGGTTGCCCCTCTCTCTCTGTCGTCTTTTGGATAGACATGTGGCCCGGTTCTGGTGGGGGAGCTGAGGAGGGCCAACCCAAGATTCGGTGGGTGTCCTGGTGTAACCTTTGCAGGAGTAAGCATGATGGGGGTATGGGATTTTGCCGGTTTGAGCATTTTAACCAGGCCCTCTTAGCTAAGATTGGCTGGCGTATTCTCAACGAACCTCACTCCCTCCTTGCTCAGGTGTATAAAGGGAAGTACTTTCCTCAAGGAACGTTTCTGTCTGCTACAGCTCGTTCACGCCCTTCTTGGGGATGGCAGAGTATCATATTTGGGCTCTAGTTATTGGAGGCAGGTTTAAGATGGCAGATCGGCGATGGCCTTTAGGCCTCCCTTATCCACTCTAATTGGATCCCTGGGCTTCAGTTGGACCCCCCTTGCTATAATCCCCGGGTCCTACCAGATGGGGGGATCCCTTGGTGGCGGAGGTTATTTGGCAAGGGGAAGGGCGTTGGGCGGAGGATAAGCTTAGTCAATGGTTTGACCCTTCTACCTGTCGAGCCATAAAGGCTATCCCACTTCCGCGACAGAATGTGGAGGATAAACTGATCTGGCATAACACTCCTGATGGGGTGTTCTCGGTTAAGACGACCTATCATCTGGCATTTGAGCTAGACAGTAGGAGGGGTGGGTGGCGGGCCTCAGTTAGTTGGATGGATAGGCAAAGTTGGATCCGGCTGTGGGACGCTAAGATTCCTCCTAAGCTGAAAGTCTTTGTCTGGAAAATTCTTCATCGGGCTCTGCCAACCATGGAGGCTCTCATTGAAAAGAAGGTTCATGTGTTGCCCCGGTGTCCGGTTTGCTGGGATGGTCCTGAGACTATGGAGCACATGTTTCTTTACTGTCCGGTCGCGCGAGCTCTCTGGGACTACTCGGGATTGGACTATTTAGGGGAGGGTTTGCCTCGGCACACTTTTACGTTGTTTCTTAAGCGGATGCTCGCCCTGGTCCACCACCCGCCGCTGTTTATGGCTGTGGTTGCCATTCTTTGGCGGATCTGGCGATCGCGGAACTGGTGAAGGCAAACAGTTTGGGATTCCGCCTTTAATGCACCAATTTCACCAGCAATACGAGGAATGGGTGGGTGGGTCTGCCGGTTGACCAGCCGACGAGGGTATCCTGCCCGGTGGTTCAATCAGGGACCCCAGTGGTTGATTCTCGTCTGGTTTGCATGTGGGATGGGGCCGTTAGGAGGGGGTCCCACTCGGCTGGTGGGATGGTTCTTTTTGATCCGGGATGGACGCTCCTTAGGACTAAAGGTGTTCAATTTGCGCAAATTGATGAACCCCTGGTAGTGGAGTTGCTTGTGCTTCGAGAGGCTATCATCTAGTGTTTAGAGTGTGGCTTGTCCGAAGTTAGGTTCGAGGGTGATGCGAAGGTCATTATTGATAAGATTAATCAAGTCTACACGAGCGACAGTCGCCTGGGGCAGTCCTGGAAGAGATTTGTCAGTATTTTCGTGCCCATCTGGGTTTAGTGTGCGGTTTGTAGGTCGGGAGAACAATAGAGTAGCTCATTTGGTAGCTAGAAAAGCCCTCTCTTTGTACCCGAATGTAAATCGTGTCTTTGATTTCAGGGCCTGGCTGCTATCCAGGATGTAACTATCTTTTTTATTGGATTAATATTTGATATCTTTTGACAAAAACAAAACAAACAAAAAATATTTTTTTCAATTTGAAAATGATAAATAATAAAATTAGGAAAATAATTTGAATTTGAAATTTTATAATAATTTTTAGGCTGACTAATGGGTCAACAGTGTTGACCGTCTAAATTGACGGGCAAACCATGTGCCGGGCCAATTGACTCTATATGCTGCATAGTTGAGGTTAGGATGTTAATTTCTGAAACCACGTACCAAAGTTGATTATATGGTCATAGTTCGAGCCAAAATAAGGTATTAACCCATTTATAGGAGATCTGCTTTTTTGTTGATGATGGTAACAAAAGTTTACCACGACACTTGGCAAATGAACATAGGACAAAATATAACTAAATACACTTGATGCTAACACAAACAAGTAAGTAAAAAAGTGTGTCTGTTCCCATATAACGAATCGTCTTCAAACGAAGGACGCATTTCATGCTTCCGTCGAGAGGATGGATTGAGGTAGCAGGGTTAAGCGTTTGGATTGAGTCGTGATCTCTCAAGCACAAATTCCAGGTCTGCACTCCCAGCTCAATTATAGACAGGTTGCCATACATGTGAGTTACAAACAAAATTCGAGGTCTCTCGACTTGCGCAGAGAGTCAATGATAGACTGGTTGATACCGTATCTTCTTCCATCGTCCCAGCACTATACTAGGCTTCCCCGTACGGCACCCAGGACGCGAACTTGTACCGCTTCATGTTGTCGACATCATCTTTAGAATAGGCACAAGCGGCGCTGTTTATCTCATTGCTATCCTCATTGAAAAAACTATTCACGTGCCGCTAACACGTGCAGCAGCTCCACCGTGTTGGGCTCGTCGTCCAAAAAAACAAAGTCGAACAACGTTGACTTCAACTCCCCATCCTCGGTCGGCTCGTCAGCGGGGGCGAAGACGAACCGGATGCCGTCCATCTCCACCAGCTTCAGGAATTTCTCGTTGTAGCAGCAGTGGAGGTGGGCTAGGGGGGCCGGGCCGGTCGCGGACGGGACCACCTCCAGCTTGACGAATGGGCTCACCAGGTCCATGGACAGCTTGCAGCCCATGCCCTTGTAGTAGGCCCCGAACTCGCTGTTCCACAGGTAGTGCATGTATTTCCCGTTGGCTGTTGATCGAAGGGTCATGTACTTCAGGAGTCCTGCCACCGTCGTCGCCGCCATATCGTCGAGTTTATTACTAGATGTCTTGCTGGTCAATTTGGCTCTCACCAGCTCGGTCTCGATATATGTTGGGATGAATAGTTTTGAAAAGCTATAAATAAAATTTCTAATTAATTATCCAATATTTTCCCATAATACGAAAATAAGACGGATAATTAATAAAAGGAGTATTACGGAGATAATTAGCATTAATTATCTTAATATAATACATTTTAATTACGGGATTAATTATCTTCCTAATTAAAATGTGACTTATTGCTGAGTTTTCTGCTCCTATAAATAGCAGACTCCTAGACCCTCTAAACACACCTCAAAATAGCAAAAACATGAGAGAGAGTGAGTTTAGAGAGCTCCGGTTTCCACACAAAATCGATGAGCAACAAAATTAGAGTGGTTGTTTTATCCTGGAGGCGACCGGCTGATAGTCTGTGAGCAATGAAAGCAGTGCCGCTAACGTCTAAAAGAAAGCGACCTAGTCCGCGACTCAGCCAGATTCGGTAACCCTAACTTTTCTTGTTTGATTTCTAACAATATATGCTATGAAACGGAGCCATGTATGTGTTGTGTGTGACTGACCTAAATATGTTTTAACTGATGAACTCGTTAGAAGGTTTAGGGCGCACGGGAATTGTATCAGAATTTTGTTAAACCGAACCGCATAGGTTAGCGGTGTGGCGTTGTTTGGATTACTTTTGCAATGTTCATTTTCGCAATTTGATATAGATGTGCATGAATCATGATGGGATTAACAATAAGTTCATATCCACTTTCTATGCTCATGATCTCTATTTCGATTAATATTTTAGATCCTAAGGGCCAATATTACAAATGTACATCACCTTAATTATTTCTCTCGCACATTGAAAATATGGTAGAAACTAGGTATCAGTCATAGGAAAAAAGAATTATCATCAACACCGCATTTCTTATCTTATCGAAATAACAATAAGCTACGCCGGGGCTGCCATTACATTTAACGTTTTTCACAGGCCCGGCCCAGGCCCTGTGCTGGCCTGACCCACAGCACAGGGCCTCAAAATACTTGGGGCCTCAACTTGGCCCATAAACCTATACATATATGTATTAAAAATAATTAATCCTAAAGACAGCTAAGCAATGGGGCCGCTGGATGGGCCAAAATCCGAATGGGCCGACGAATTGGAATGGGCTGGCCATGTTTACTTTTATTTTATTACCTTGCATAGTTGCATTTGACCATTTGCAGTTTAAAATGAGGCCCTGCCTAATTTGTTTTGGGCCGAGTGGTCCTTGCATTCTAACCTTCTTCTTTTTTTTAGCAGGGGTTTTGTTTGGAAATTTGGATTAGTGCTAAACTGCTAGTTGATTGCCGAGTGGAATCATTAAAGTTTGATAAAAAAATATTTAATAATTTTTTTGAACTTATGTATATTTTATATTTTTTAATAATTTTTTAAATAAATTTGGGGAACAAAATTTTTGGGCCACATTTTAATTTTTGGAACAGGGCCTCTGAATATCATGGACCGGCCCTGGTTTTTCACCAATCGACAATACTACTAGATATACATTAGAATTATCGTCCACGTTCCTTGTCTAAATGTAATGAGCATAAATGACTACAATCTACAAAGCTATATTTTATTTTTGCTTCTGGCCATAGCCTCCTAAAAGCTACCATATGGGCTGAACATCCAAAGAAGAAGCACAATATAGACTCTCCACCCAGTTTTTCGTTGTAGCTGGGCCTGGGGACGCGGACCTATGACCCAAGTGGGGTATTAAGGTGGGCTGAAGGAATTTGATGGTCGGGGTTGGGCTCATTGACTTTCTTTCGAGCTTCGCAATCAGACTAACTAGCTACGGGATAATGCAAGTATGCAACGTCATGTTTTACTATTTCGATTTGACTTCAATTCTCTTTTTATACGAGTAAATGCCACATTTGGTACTGATATTACTAAATCGTGTCATGTTTAGTCATTAGAAAAATTTAATATCAATTTTAGTCACTTGAATTACTGAAACAAGTCACATTTGGTCACTTTCCTGTAGTCTCTATGCAACTCCGGTCACTCGAATTATTGAAACATGTCACATTTAGTCACTCAAATTACTGAAACATGTCACATTTAGTCACTCTCCCGTTAGTTTCCGTCCAACTCCATTAATGGTCACATTTAGTCACTCAAAAAAATTGTTTGCTTCACGCATGGTAGATTTATTGAAACATGTCACATTTAGTCACATTTACCCATTTTATATAGTTTCCCACTTCTTACATAAATCTACCATGCGTGAAGCAAACAATTTTTTTGAACTAGCTTTGTGCCCGACGGTCGGCCGGATGAGTTTTATTTAAGTTGAGTGCTATTTTGTGCATATAATTTAAAATTATATAAGCACTCATGAATATGTGATAATACGAATTATTATGTTTGATCTAACCCTCATCTCATGACTCATACGAAGGAATTATGTTGTGCAATATACACCACAAATTTGTACATATGATGAAATGTTGTTTCAGTAAAGTATTGAAATATAAATTTGTAAGTCATACCGATTTATATTTAAAGTTTAAAATTTAAAATTTTATTACCATTGTGACATTTTGTATAGACTGAAATCTAGAATTACCAATCACAACCTTTTACTAATACCAAAATAGGAATCCAATAAGTATGACCTACCTAGTTAAATAACTCTAGGTTCTATTGCCATGGTCACATAATTGGAGGATAAGAGCCTGCCACGGAATTATAAAATAAACTTAATTATACAAAATTAATGTGTTTGTGGTCTGCTAAGTAGACAGGAAAGACAACAATATAATATGACCAATATTCGCTGATTGTGATGAAGTGCCATCAAGAAACAAAAATAAACATGCTTACACTCTACGTTAAAGGTTCAACGAAGTTGTCCAATAACCTACACTTGACAACTTGCAAAAAGAGATGAACCAAACAAAATAATAGAGAGATTCAAACTAATAGAGATGAACCAAACAAAATAAGATCAGGTGACTAATGCATTTTTAGTCAAATAATTAAGTGAATTTCAGCTATTACAAATCATTATAATTCAAAGACTCCAATTAATCAAAGTTAATGAAAGATAATGTAGTAATTGCATGACTTTTTTAATTTTCAATTATTAATTAATTAAAAAAATCATCCATTTTTGCTGCGTCTCTTCCTCGGCGTCTCCCGTCTCTTCCCGCCGGCCAGGATCCCACATCCTGGGAATTTTCCGTCTCAATCTCAGTTAGTATGTTTTCTACTTTTTTTTTAATGTTTGTAAGCTTTTGTTATTTTTTACACCATTTTTGTCATTTTTGTCCACCATGTTTGTAATGTTTTTATGTCTAAAAATTAACCTGGTTGACTGTTGGATGGAAGTCCTCTATATAGAAATGGACCCTCCAAAGTCAACCAGGTTGTTTTCCATTTGGTATGATTTGCCGGTCTAGTTTATAATTTTTGTCCACAATATGTAATGTTTGTATATCTAAAAAATAACCGAGTTGACTTTGGAACAGTGCCCCTCTATATGGGGATGGAGCCTACAAAGTCAACCTGGTTGTTTTCCTATTTTTTTGTGTTTTGTATTGCTTGTCGCTCTACTTTGTATTGTTTGTATAGTTCGTATGTTTTGTATTGTTTGTAAACCAATTTGTATGTTTTGTTGTTCTAGTTTGTATGATTTGTACTGTCTATAAGTCAAGTTTGAATATTTCGTAATTATGCACAATACCCAAACTACCCCTGTCATAAATTAAAAAGTCTTTCCCACTTTTTAACCGTTAGATTGGAGTGTCTAGATCTAAAAGCTGGGAGGAGCTTAGTCAAGTGACTAAGGACCCCCCACTTAGTCACCTAATCTGCACTCGTATCTACAAGGAGATCACATAATACATAGGTGAAACCCTCAGTATAACTCCATCTCTGCATTTCATCTAGTGGCGGATCATGGGCGACCACCCTAGGTCACGACTTATCTATCCTCTGGGTTCGTGTTAGTATAGCTCTTATGGAATTGATTTTAGCTATTCGGCCTATTGTTATTTTATATTAATATTGTGTGTAACTAAAGAAATAGTTCAGATGAATATATTCAAATCACAACTCTAAATTTAGTTTAGAAATTCTACCCCAATAATTTCGTCTAAAAAAATAAACAATGAAATCTAAACTTCTAAAAGTCTAAAACGTAAAAGACTAAAAAAAATATGAATTTTGTTCCCTTAAAAAATTACTAGCGCAGCTGGTGAAAATACGGATGGACACACAATACAAATTTATTAAACGATTGATTGGTCTAGTGTTAAAAAATGAGCGATGGATATCTCGCAGATTGCTTAACTATTTTATTTGAAAGAGAGTATACTATCAGTATGATGTGGACTCCATTATTGATGAATTCGCTATACTAAATAACAGTCCAATGTTTTACTATATCCTAGATCTATCGTTGATTTTATCACTCGTGTTTGGAGATTCTTATGGATTAGCCATGCCAAGAACTAGTTACTTGGAATATAAGGTGACTTCCATAACAAAGAAAACTAGTTTATTACTTGGATTATAAGGTGACTTCCATAACAAAGAGAACCTGTTAACTTTTGTTGTAGATGGACAAAAAAAAATTTTGGTAAAGGATTGATTTCATTGCGCCTAATTCATATTAATACTAATAGAACGATCATGATCAATGGCCATTACATCATGAAATAACCATCGTCCCATACGCGGATCACACACATTGAATCGATGTGTGCCAAAATTGACAAAATGACCTCTATTCGCTAAGAAGTCAACATCAAAGTTTGCTTCCCTATACACATTATCGATTCTAACCTCCCAATCGAGATTCAAAAGGACATAGAACTATCTAGCAAGGATCCCATGGCGATGATCGCCGTCCAAGCAATTCCTGGCAATAGTAATGGCGGTAGTAGAGTCCAAGTTAAGTTGAACTCCTTGTGGCCTCTCTCTCAAGCAATCCGCAAGCCCTTAATAGCGCCTTTCAATTCAGCACTGGTGATGAAGCATGCTCCAAGATTGCATATGAAAGCATCATTACATCTTCCAAGGTGGTCTCTCAGAAATAGTGGCGGACCCAGAAATTTTCCATAGGGGTGTCCTCTTTTAAAAAATAAATTTAATAAAAATAAAAATAATTAATAAAAATAAAATCATAAATATGAAAATACCTTACTCGTGCAGGTTAAAAAAGTCCATGATGTGTTTTCATATTCGAAAATAATTGTAGAATACACTTGGTGTTTATAGTTTTAAAAAAAATTCTCCATATACCCTACTAGACAATCATTCAGGAACTTATCGCATATTCGATTTGTAAACTTGTTCTTGATGTAACCCAAAACTGAAAGACTCTTCAACACTTGCCGTACAATCATAAAATCAATACAAATTAAGGGTAGATTGAAATTAGTTTAGATTGAAATAATTAGAGATAGTGAATGACTTTTTACTATTACACATTGTTCAAAATCGAACAACAAATGAGTTGTAGCTCAACAGAAATTAAGTTTATTAATAATAATAGTGTTCTAGATTTGAATTATTCAACCTACCATTTATATTTTTATACATAAATGACAGTAGGATAATAAATTTTTCAAATTTCAGGGGTGTCCCTCACTATCAATTATATTTTTTTTTGTCTATACGTAAATTTTCACCGGGGGTTGGATAATCATTTTTCCGAAATTTAGGGGTGTCCGGGGACACCCCTAAAACCCCCTGGGCCCGTTCCTGCTCAGAAGCCCCCTGCTGCTCTTCCTGAGTGTGGGATGACTGATCCATCTGTCAGAACTTGGATCCATTCCATTTCAGGTGGCTTCCAAGATCAGATGGATGTTGACCTGGTTCACAGAACACCCTCTCATTCCTTTGTTGAGCTTCTTTGATGATGTTGAACCAAACATCAATTATGCAGCGAACACTTTGCTCGTTGTAGACTTTTCCATCCAAAACTTCCACATTTCTCTACTTCCAAAGGTTCCAACAGATGACTCCAAAGTCAACCCCATCCTCCTCTTGTAGCAGATTAGAAAGCAGCCATTCTTGGAATGGAATATTAGCATTAGTAGCAGCAAGCTTGTTTCGAAACGTATCCCAAACAATCTTTGCTTTCATGCAGTTTCGCAATATATGCTCCACTGTTTCTTCAATATCAAGCCAGATGAAGTGTTTGACCCTGTTGGGTCCTTTCCATTTCCAAAGAGCTTTCCAGGTGCCCTCCTCCTCGCCTTCTCCCTCAGTGTTTGCAGCAAGGTTGTTGAGAGACTTCAGTTGGAATCTCTTGTCCCTCTCCATGCCCCAAATCATCTTGTCCTCCCCTAGTTCAGGTCTCGGTTTCTCCATTCCTGCAATAAGAAGAAGTTTATCATCAGGAAAAAGGTCTTTTAAGCTCTCTGTTTTGGGCCTAATTGCACATGTTTTGCCCCTGGTTTACCTAGATGTTTGAGGCAAATTTGCTCCTTAAAGGTCGGTTTTATGCTAGGTTCTTCTTGTTTGAGGGTGTTTCAGGATTTAACAGGTGAAACCAGCCTTGGAGTCGAAAGATTGGCGAAAAGGATCGAAAACCAGGAGAAGAGGTGAAAAAGAACCAGTTCACGGCTAATTGAAGGAGTTCACGGTCATGCAAGATCGTGATGAAGTAGATTTGACCGTGAATCGCGAGGCGTCCAGAGCCAATTTGAAGGTTACTGACGCAAGGTGAGTTCACAGTCACTATGACCGTGAACACAAGCAGTTTCCCATGAACTGACGTGAGCGATGCGGAGTGTTATGGCGCATGCCTTGAGTTCACGGACGTGTTTGATGGTTCACGGCTAGGGATGGCAATCAAACCCATGGCCGCGGGTACCCGACCGCCCCCGACCCAGTCAACGCGGGGAATCCCCGCTTTGACCGGGTATGGGTAAAACCCGCAAAAAGTTTGATGGGTATGGGGCGGGTATGGTTTTAGCCTCCCTCGCCCCATACACATACCCGCCCCACCAAGAGAATTTCTTCACATATCAAAAAATATGTGCATTAAATTGTAATATATCAATGATGATGATGATAACTCGAGAAAATAAATAGTAGAAATGCAATTGAGTAACCACCTTAATCAAAACCTAATTCATTTCCCTCAATTCTCCTTCCACTCTTTCACTTTCCCCCTTGTCAACAAGATTATGTTAGTTAATTATTACTTAGTAAATGTATTAAAAGTTAGAGCATAATAATTTAAAAAATATTGTAGTCTATATTATGTATTAATGGATGTTTTAGGATCATATTCTTTGAATCGTATTTAGAAAATGACCGTGTTTTGTTGACTTCATGATATAATAGGTTTGTTTATGGTTATAATTAAAACTTTTCCTGTAAGTTATAGGTATAATAATGTTGGATGTACGGGGATGGGTATTACCCATGGGTACCCGAAACCCACGGGTATGGGGATGGGTTTGCAAAACATTCCCCCGCATGGGTATGGGGCGGGTATGGGTTTGGGTATTTGAAGATGGGGATAGGGATGGTTTAGGCAAACCCGCCCCATTGTCATCCCTATTCACGGCCATGAACTCAGCTCTTCTCGGGTTTAAAAGCTGAGCTGAAAGGAGGAGAGAGCCCACTTTTGTGAGAAACACCTTCTTCAGCATTCTAGTGAGAGAAACAGAACCAAAGGGAAGAAGAAGGTTAGGGTTTGGCTTCAAGGTATATTTTTGGGAAGAATTCCCCATGGAAAGCTCAACTCAAGCGTCAAGAAGAGAGGAGGCATCCCCAAAGATGGTTTCCACATTTTCCCTTTTGTTCTTCCCACTTCTACCATGGAGTAGACCTCATTTCACTTGGGGGGTAGTGAAACCCTAACTTCTACCATGTAGTTTTCTTGTATGTGGTTTGGATGATTGTTATTGGGTATTGTTCAATTCAATGTTTGAGTCATTACTCACCATGATTGTGCATGTTTGTGCTTAGCAACTTAGGGGTTGTGCATGTTTTGTGCTTAGCATCCTAGGGATTGTGCATAACTGTGCTTAGCACCCCTAAGTTTGTGCATTTAGGTGCTAGTAATCTAATTTGCCACCTTAGCCTAGTTTAGAGAGGAAAATCCCCCTTTCAAGGGAGACTCAATCAAGTGGTTTTCCTTCCACTTTCTAAGCCACCTAAACTAGGTTGAGTTAGGGCAACCCTCAATATTGAATTATACAAGTCGATTAATCATGGTTAAACCGTCCAACCTTAGAGTTGAGTGAGGGAGTAGGTCAATTACCGATTGTCTAAAACGAGAGGATCGAGTGACACGACCTTTCATTCTCCGACCACTTATGCATTCCTCTGCAGTTCACGATTAACGTGCCCAAGGAAATCAATCCAATCCACATAGCATGGTAGCGGTTAGGGGGAAGCGAAACCCGAGTGACTTTCCCACAAAAGAGTTTTCAAACCCAATTACATTTGCTTTCTTTTACTTCAATTAGCAAACCTTTTAAACCAAAGTTTAGTTGCTAGATAATGATTTCAACAATGGAAGTAGGGATAGACGGACCGGCTCGAGTCGATATCTAAATACTTGCCCTATACTGCACCCGATTGGAGTTTAAAAACTTGGGCTCTAATTGGGGTTTAATTGTGGTGTAGTCTCATGCGAGTCACTGTCCCAATCCCACTCACCCTCTTGAGCAATCAGTTGGCCATTGGAGACTCTTTTTCCTCTTAAGTGATATCTTTGGTAAGGAAGTCTTCAAGGAGCATCCCATTTTCGATCCAGGGGTGCCTCCAGAAACTGGTTAATTCACCATTCCGAATGCTCCAGCAAGAAGCTTCTTACATAAGTGGCATTGCTTTTGCAATGGCTTTCTAGAGGCTAGAGTGGTTTGTCTTCTTCATGGAGATGATGTTGCCATTCCTCTGTTGCTTGTAGAGTTACATTTGCCATCCCGCCACTTAACGGTCGGTGGGTATGAAATAGTAATTTTCCTTGCCACGCTAGCAATCCAAGTCACTGTAAATTACCATTTCACATGGCTAACACAAACCTACATTTTCAATATATGAAGAGATAAACAAAAACATAAATATAATTTATCGATGTTTCACTTTATTCTCCCACTTCAAAAATTGAAATAAAAAATATTGAATCTCATCCCCATTGAACGAGGATAAAATTGAAAGCACTGAAAGAAAAGAAAAAATTCAGATCATTATAGAGGCACAAATATTGTCCAATTCAAACGTCCCATATTCCAATACACAAGAAACAGAGTATCAACTGACATCTTATACTCAATCACGACGTCGGATCCAATCAAAATCCTCATATAGAGAAACCACCACGACAAATATTTTGTTTTTGCTATTTCCATCAATCGACGAATCGTAGCCTAGAATATTGGATGTGCTGCGGGAGATGCGGAGCAAGGAGGCATTGCATCAAAAATTGCAGATGTCACTGTTGAAGGGGCTAAACTCGACAAAGTAGCAATCGAAGGAGCATTCTGGAGAGGAGTAGAGCAATCTGTTGCAATGGAGGGGAGATGAATCGCTATTCGGTGGACTTTTTGATTGGTGTAGTCAATGTGACATAGCGGGCAACCGAGATTCAGTAATTGGGATGCCAAGATTCGCAACAGATGCTCAACCCATGGAGCAGGATAAATTGTTTTTTTGTTTCGCGGATGTGAGTAGGTTATGTTGGGGCTAGTGTCGCCGATTGTAAGCCTATAGGCTTCGTATCTAGGCTCGTCAGATAAAGTAGAAGCAGCCAACATAACTGTCTCCTCCACCATTTCATTGGAATTGATAGCAGAGTTCTTAATGTCATTCTGATTCAAGCAAAACACGATTCCTGGGAGTTAGATTTTTTCTCCTTCCATTTGATTTTGTTCGCTCTAGTCCTAAATTCATTTAAGTTTTTGATTTATCAAGGATGTGGTGCCCCCTCTATTGTTAGGTGTTTGTTCTTGTATACAGAGGAACTATTGTTTGCGAGGTGTTTGCGGAGTGGCTCTTTCTATCCACTATTTTCCAAGCTTACGAATGTAACACAACTTTCGAAATTTCTTCCATTTCTGCTGATCTATCTAAAATACTTTTTTCTGCCACTAAGTTTTCATTTTCTGAGATTTTCCTTTAAGTTTAGCTCTGTTTGTGCGAGTTAGCAATCCAAAGTTGAGTTGGATTGTCTATGTGGCAAGGAAAATCGGTATTTCATACACACCTTTAAGTTGTGGGATGGAAAATGTAACTGTGCAACAAATATTAAATTTAAGTGATTTAGTTGCAACCAAAAGAAGTTAAGTGGCCAACATGCAACTAAAGTAAAACTTAAGTGGTATCCAGTACAATTAACCCAATTCTCTATTATTTAGCGGTCAAAGTGTGAAAATTTTTGTTGCATGCAAAGTGGAAATGAAAGGGAGTAAATGTTCTGATTTCCGAGGAAAGAGAGACCACTCAAGTAAGCATCCCCCTAGCTTGCACATATGCCAAGTTGTAATTCCCCAATCCAATTCTATTGATATTGGTACTGCGGAAAGTCCTTAGATAGTATGGTGTCTCGGCTAAAGTTTTCTAAACCCTCTTTAATAAAATACCCATCGGGATTTTTATTCTCCACCGTAATAAACCACCAAGGAAAGTCAAATAGACTTCCTCTACTTGGTTTTGACTCTAGTACATAGCAATGTACTTTTGTTTTTCCTGTGAGTCGGCAAGTCATGGCCACGTCTTGTTTTTCCTGTGAGTTTCCCAAGGGCGTCGTTTCTTCACATCATGAACCCAAAGTCAAGCATGTGGCTTAGGAGTCACGGGCATGACTGTGACATGAATGCCTTGACTGTTCTCCTCAATTCGCTTAGCGACTCTCGATCCGTCTTTGCCCATTTGATTATGAAATCGATTCATCGTCAAGAATTGAATAGTATAACATAGAAAGCTCGTTCATACATAACGAATCAAAAACGGAATACTAATCCAATCTACAAGTTCTTTACTTTAGTTCATAAGTTTCCCGAAAGACTTCTTCTACAAACTAGGCCCTGAAATATCACAACCGCACCCAACCTAGCATAAAATCGGCCTTCAGTGGCAACAACCTATCCCAAACAGTCCAAAATGAGGGGGAGACATGTGCAAATACCGTATTATCAAATTCCCCCATGTTTAACCGTTTGCTTGTCCCCAAGCAAACCAAGTCATGCACAAAGTATGCTCAACACATTTTTAATCATGCAAACTTTGGGGACATATCATAGAGGAACAAAATAGAGGAATCTCAAAAGCCATCTAGTACCAACACATGAGCAACAACAACAACAACCTAGACAGCCCTCATAGATGACATTCAACTATAGTAAAATCACGAGATGGAGAATCCTTCTTCTGTTCTCAGACCAAAATATGACATGACTCGACCACTCGCACAACCTTGTTCACCATGCTTAAAATTCAAGTTACCAGAATCAGAGACTGAGCAATCTAGGTCCTCACCGGGATGTATGATATATGGAAATGAATCACTCACTCTCCACTAGTGGGGTCAGGACAATTTGATGAAAAAGATGTGCATGCTCAATTTCTCAATCCTAACCTCACCACAATAGTTGCCTCTAAGGGTTAGAGTTCACATAGTGTTTGTCAACACTAACCAAAACTTTATGCTAATGTTGTTTTTATCACTTTTTAAACACAAGAGTACAGGAGGTACATTTTCGAGCAACTTAATTACCTTGTGGCGGCTCTCTTTCTTGTTATTTTCTTTTCTTTATTTTTTTTTCAATTTCCTTGAGAGCTAACAACTTGCCACATTTTCGATTTGTAGAACATACTTCTCATCCTTTAGGTACCACCTCCTTTACTCACTTCCATTTTTAGCATAACCCATGTAAAAATCGACTTTGTGGAACCTTGACGGAACACAAAGGGGATTTTACATACACAAAGAAAGGACTCGTGACTCAAGGGGGTTGACCAGAGGGTATTATGATTAGGATAATCAATTTTGGACCATGAGGTGATCCTACTCCTCCAACTTCCTCATTAGTGGCGACATGAATGCTACATATCATGGTAAGAGGGAACTAATCACACAGAAAGGAACAAGCAGGCTCAAATCTGACATGGTTATCTATATGCTCTATCCCTAATTCTGATTCCCTAAACTAGATGCATGGGAAACTTTAAGTGGTGAGTACTCAATCCATGACACAAGTTGGTTCACAACCAGAAGGAGAACTAAACCCTGACACAATCCTACTGTGATGGTCTTAGTCCCAAACAAGCTACTCACGCATTGATAGTAACTACCATATGACTCACACAGAAACACATGTGCCAATATGATCATGAAAATCTGTAGTTAGAGCCCTCAAATCTTAAGATTTGGACAGTGAACTAGGCTCCAAGCTCATACACACCTTGCCAGACAGTTCGAGAATTAATGAACACTCCCACAATTAAAATCGAAATTGTTCTCAATGGAGCAAAGATAGGGAAAGGGGAACGATGTTACCTGTTCAAAATGAATGTTGGCGGGACTAGAGATGTGACTTCACCCAAGAGAAGGTGATGGCCAATTTTTGAAAGAAGGGCTCAACATAGTGGAACAGGGTGACGCGCCAATCCTAGTAGTGGTGCGCCACCTTCAAATGTGACTTCACCCAAGAGAAGGTGATGGCCAAAATGGAGGCCAAGTGAAAGTGGCTCTAGACAGACCCATGTGGTAAAGTGCATGCATCTGGCGCTTCTTCACTTGTCCAGAGCATTCTGGCTAGTAAAAACCGAAAAAAGTGGGAGAGCATGCATGATACACAATGGGGCATGAAATAGGGTGGTTGGGGAATCGCTAAACTCGAACTTAGGGTCCACGTACCTATCCCGACAGATCATTTGAAAGAACTGTCGCCAAGGGGCCTGAGGGACAATCAGCTCGATGTCAAACATCTAACGCTAGTCTAGGTCGATCGCCATGATAAACTCGTCGTAAGTCATGCTCTGCAGATTCCCCTGAGGCAGAAGGTGACTGCTCCAGGAATTGTGGGGCCCGCCTTCATATTGTGTTGGAATGTACTGTAGAATTCCAGGCATGGCTTTAGAAATATATCATCTGCTAGCTCCAACAGTCACCACCACTCGGGGTGAAGGACAACCTACTCCGTAGCCGAATGACAGTGGAGCGACTCAAAATAGTTCAGGTTGAGCTGGTAGTGAGCATGATAACATCATATTTATACATGTTACACCCTCGTTTCTTGATAGTTTTAGTTTGATTTGTGTTCTCTTTGGCCTATTTTATGCTAGGTTGTGTTCTTTTGTCATATTTCACGTCCTAGTAAGTAAAGGGAGGCATAGGCGCAAGTTTCCGGTCAATAGGAGGTTGTTTGGCCACTCAAATACTACTTAAAAGTGGAGCTGAGGAAGAAACACAGGCAGGAGAAATATGAGCGGGTTTGATCCACTTGTGCACGTGTTTTAGGTGCCGAGAAGAAACAAGGGGAGGGCTCAAACACAAGCGTGTTTCTGCTCCCTACTCAGGTATAAGTGCGTTTTCTGTGATTTTTGAAAGGGAGAGCTGGATTTTGGATCCCAAATACCCAAGGGACAAACCCTAGAGAGCGAGCAACTTGAGATCATTCGTGGAGCTATTTTGTAGGATTTCTTCACCACTGAAACTCAAAGAACATGATTGGATATGGAGATTGAAGATCTGGATCAGATTTTTGCATTCTCTCTCTTATCTATGGAGTAACTTCCCTTCACTTAGGTTTTTAGGAACCCTAGATATGTTTGTTTGATTGGATGATTGTATGAGTACTCTCTCTTCACTATCTTGAGTTCATATTCAATCTATGCATGTTTGGATGTTCAATTATGCCTTAGTCGAGATTATTGATTCTATTTTGATTCTATAAGAGGGAATACCTTATTAGGTCTAGAGAGCACCATAGATTGATAGTAGGTGATCGATTGCATGAATAGCGAATCAATTCCTTTATATGTATCGATTGAGAACCTCATTCAACAAAGGAAGACTAGTGTAGAACACCTTGATAATTTGTTAAAGAGAAGGATATGTCCCTCTAGGCAATTGACTCAAGAAGGCCTTGATTGCTTTAGTCGAGATTCATGGTCTACTCAAGCACTATTCCCATTGTTAATGAAAGTGAATTAAGTTAGAGATCATTGATCATTAACCCGGATACTGGTTTGGGGGAATCATACCTAAGTGAGTTCCCAACCTGTAATTAGTTACATTAACCTTAATAGCTTGTAGAGTAGTTTAGATCTTCAAATCTAAATATGATTTGCTAGATAAAAAAACCTAAGCTGAGTAATAGTACATCTAGAGACCCAAGGATTCGATATGTATTACTTGTGCGACTATACTGCAGTCCCTTTCATTGGTTACACTTGGCCATTGTTAGGAATGTTGATTTAGCGAGTCAGAGAACCAAAATGACCATTCCTCCATTTGTCGAAGGCATCGCCATAGTCGACATTGAGGTGCAGACCATATAGGTAGAGGTGATTGGGGTTGACATGCCATTATGCTAAAAAAAAAAGACACCCAAAGCCACCACTCGAGGCGCGTTAGCACATCAAATTGGGGGTAAAGAACTTCCCCATATTTAAGCACAAATATGGGAGGCAGGCCTAACAAACTCAACATTCCTGGTGAATGCAGTAAGAATTTAGCTCAAGCACTAAGACTATCAAGCACAAAATCCAAAAATTTAACACCCGCACATGCTAACAAGTTCAAGGCAATCACATCCCTGGCCCCTTAACA